ACGCAAATTTCAATTTCTTTTAGAATAATCATCTCGCAATTTTTAAGTGGTTATCAAATTTTTAGATTAAAAAATCCTCCATATAGGCCTTCTAAACTGAAGAAGTACTACATCCACCCTCTTCTGTAGATTGATATATTGTCTTCCATTTCACCAAGTGAATCCCTTCATTTTTAGTGGTGCATGCTCAGAAAAAATTTCATTGCAGCCTTTCTACCATATGACATGTGCGCTTATGAAGAACAAAAGATAAAAGCCAAATATACTCTTGAGGCAGCATAGTATACATGCTTTCAAACAAGATCATTTCTCATTTTGATTGGGACTTAGTCGATGCATTTCATACACATCATTTAACCATGAAAAGTATAGAATAAAACCATTTGGTTTCATTCAGCATAAATTAGAATAATTACTTTAAGAAAAAGTACACAGTAAGATTGGTTAAGATTGGTTATTTTTAGTAGAAGAGATCACAATGAATCTTGACCGCTTTATGTGAAATCAAGCAGCCAGATGCGTCCTGACTAAAAAATCCAAACTAAAATTCACTGAAGTATGTAAAACACTGGGAAGTTGTCAAATTTATCATGCCCATAAGCAATTTGTAACTTCCTTTAACCAAAGTAATTTATTATAGCATGCATATTCTCTTTTTTCGAATAATCCCCTATATTAAAAAAAAGGAAAAAGTTTATATAAGGATGAAACCTTATAATGTAGAACTACGGATGCACCTCAAAAATCCATCGAAAAAGGTAGTTTTAATATTGAAAAACGCCTTGATTGATCATCTCAACATCGAGATGTATGACCATGAAAAATAAAAAGATTTTAAGTCTCAGAAATAATGCATTTTACAACATATTATCTACACCTTCTATTTTCAAGATTTTCATATGTTTAGATCAATTTGAACCAATTTTAAAATTTAAAATTTTATAATTAGATATAAAAATAGATTTTGAGATAATCTTAAGAACATTTTACATCAAAATTATATACCATGATAAAATTTAAAGGTACACCTTACCTCTACAACTACGGATGCATCCGTATGCCCACTGCACCCTTAAAAAAAAAGGTGAAGTTTGTATAAGGTGCCCATCCTAAGCAATCAAGACACACCTTCAAACATAGTTAGAAGGTGTGGTTTTGGTATTATTTTTTTTTAAGATGGCCTCAAAATCCGTTTATGCTCCTAATTATAAATTTTGAAGTACCAAAAATGGTGCAAATTGAGTGTAACTATAAAAATTAAAAAATCTAAAAATTGAACGATCTAGATTATATGTTACGATATGTACTATTTTTAAGACTCGATGTCCCTTTTCTCTATATCCAATGTCTCAAAGTTAAGATCATTAATTGATGAATTTTTCAACTTCAAAACAATAGTTTAAGATGGATTTGTGAGTTACACCTTACTTCCATATAAGGCAGGGGTGTAATTGGTCTCTTTTTGTTGATATGACGTTGCGTCGTTGTTGGGAAGAAGCATTTCAAGCAAAATAAGGTAAAAGAGAAAAATAATGGCAATAATACGAAAAGGATTGTTTTACCAAATTGGAAAAATATTTCCATTTATTTTGGATATTTTTAGAATAATACGTATTATTCATGTGTTTTTCTTTTTAATAGATATATTGTTAATATGAATTTTTTAAAATGCTCCTATAAGGATTGGGATTTGCCGATCTAGATAAAATATCGACAATAATTAAACTAGTTTTAGGAAGGTATGGGTACTGGCCCAGTCCCCCTCAAATCCCCCTCAGTTTTAGGAAGGTATGGGTACTGGCCCAGTCCCCCTCAAATCCCCCTCTTTCATAGTTTGTTCTTTTATCTATATGATATTTTTCTAAGTACCTCTTACATGCCCCATAAAACTCAATTTTATTTTGTTTTTAATATTATTCAAATAGCTTATTCAAACTGATGTGGGCCGCAATCTGACATATATATAATGAGACAATTTACTTTTGATGCAAGGTCACAAATCAATATTGACTGTTAAATTTGAAATATAGTAGTTAAAGACAACTCACTATTTGGGCATAAAGTCAAAAAAAAAATTTCACGATTGTTGAGACACTTTTATCCAGTGATTTAAAAGTCGGCGACTCGAACCGGACTCATCCGATTCGGCTCAGGAACCGACAGACCCGATCTGGTTCCAGTGAAATATCGGAAATCATCCGGTTCTAGAGAAGAACCGGCTATTCCATGCCGTAAATCACGTCATGATTCTCTCGATTCTTCGATTGTTGAGACAAACTTTCATCCAGTGATTCAAAAGTCGGCGAGTTGAATCGGACTCGAAAACCGGCAGACCCGATCTAGTTCCAGTGAAATACCGAAAATCACCCTATTATAGATAAGAATTGGCGATTCCATGCCGTAAATCACGTCATGATTCTCCCGATTCGAACGTAAATCACGTTATGATTCTCTCGATTTTTCGATTCATGATGTCATGGCCCGCCGATTCTTCAATGGGTTGTAAATTTTACAAAGTACATGTACCTTAAAGTCCGCAAACCTCATCACGTGACGCTCCTCACTTCGCACGCGGTATCCTCGTTAACTACAAAGAGGTATTTATTCACTGCAACTTCCTTCTACCTATTGGATGTGGGATAATGTGAAGGTATTAACTTGAAATATTAATATATTATATATTTTGTTTGTGCTTTAAATACTACTAAGTAGCATGTGGCTTATTGGTTCTAACTTTTCTTTTTGCATGTGGAGGGCGTGGGTTCTTTTTTGCATGTGGAGGGCGTGGGCGTGGGTTCCATTCTCCTTAGGATGAACGGGGGTTCTTTTATCAACTTTTTTTCTTGTCAATTTTATTTTTTTGAGGTCAAATTTTTTTCTTATAAATTTTTTTCTTGCCAATTTTATTTTTTTGAGGTCAAAGTTTTTTCTTATAAAAAAAATGAAAGGTTTTGTTTATCAATTTCACTTTTTGTTAAATTTTTTTATTATCAAAAAAATGAAATGTTATTTATCAATTTCGCATTTTGTCAAATTTTTTCTTATCAATAAAATAAAAATTTTCTTGTAAAAAAAAAATGAAAGGTTCTTATCAATTATTTTTCTTGTCAAAATTATTTTTTTTGTCAAAAAAATAAAAAATATTTGTCAAAAAAAAATAAAAATAAAAAGTTATTGTCAAAAAAAAAAAGTTATTATAAGAAATAATAATACAACAAGTATTTTTGTCATAAGAAAAAAATGAAAGGTTTTTTTTATCAATTTCGCTTTCTGTCAAATTTTTTTCTTATAAAAAAAATGAAAGGTTTTTTTTATCAATTTTGCTTTTTGTCAAAATTTTTTCTTATCAATAAAATAAAAAGTTTCTTATAAAAAAAAAATGAAAGGTTCTTATCAATTATTTTTCTTGTCAAATTTCTTTTTTTTGTCAAAACAATAAAAAGTAATAAAAAGTTATTGTAAAAAAAAAATTTCTTATAAAAAAAAATAATACAAGTATTTTTTTTTGTCGAAAAAAAAGGTTCTTGCTAAAAACAAAAAAAAAATAATAGGACAAATATTTCTTGTAAAAAAATAAAATGTTTTTGTCAAAAAAACTAAAATGTTCTTATAAAAAAATCATTATTTATTGTAGTCCATGTATGATTATATACTTCATCCATGACAGTTCTATGATTTTGATTTTGTGTGATGCAATTTAATGGTTAAAATAAGTTCATACGGAGAAAAAATATCTCAATATTCATATATTGATGAAAAAATTGAAAATTAATAATATAGTACCCCGATTTCTTATTAGATTAGTAAAAAACAACATTTATAGTAAATTTTACTAATTTTGTTATATTTTTTTTATAGTTTAATCCGACCGATTCGGCCGATTTTCGATCCGAATCGCTGATTTACCGATCCGAATGGGTTTTTAAAATGCACAATCCGAGTCACCGATCCACTTTTTAAACCACTGCTTTCATGTATAGAATTTCACATTCAAAAGTTAAAAATGATGGTAACCACTTTATATAAAAAATAAATAATCTCATAGTATACAATCCCTAACTATAAATGGGTACCCAGTATCATTGAGCCTGCTTTACAATGGCAACTTTGAGAAAGGAGTCACCTTAACCCATACAATTTAGTACACATATCATCCCAAATAATTAATTTACAAGTCTCTTATTTATTTATTTATTTATTATGTTATAAGACTCAAACCCAAATTTTTCATTTTTTGTTGTAAAAATGATGAAAATACCCATATTTTGATATGAACGTAATATTTTTATCGTATAAGAGGTTGGCAGATATAACACTGATAAATTAAAGGGATATTTTAATTTTCTCTTTTATTTTCCTTACCACTTCCTTGATGATTTTTCCCTGAGCATATACCTTTGAGATCCGGTACTGAATTAAGTCAAGACAAATCACTCATCCCAAAGTCATCAAATAGCACTAATAGCCATGGTGAAAGAAGCAAGCAAAAAATTAGGGGAACGAGTAAAAATGACTAAGGCTAAAGAAACAATTTAAGGAGAAACTAAGGGCATATAATAATACTTAGTCCATTTCTCCGTGTGTCGTTAAAAATTGGAAAAGTTTATATAGAGCCGAAGCTCTAAAGAAATCAAACTAGAGCCTACTTCAAAAATATCATTAGGAGAGGTTGTTTTGATGCTCAAATATCTTCAAAATGATCATCTCGACATCAAGATGCATGAATATGAGAAAAAATAGATTTCAAAATTTAAAAATAATGTATTTTATTATGTATTTTTGAGGTACTAATTTTCAAGATTTTCAAGCTTTCATAAATATGTCATCTACATTATTTGTTAAACTTTAAACTTTATAAATATAAATAAAGATAGAAAATATATTTTAAGGCTATTACGAACGTTTTCAGTATTAAAACTACATTTCTCAACACTATTACGCGGTAGGCTCTAATTTGATCGTTCAGTGCCTAGGCTCTATACAAACTGCACCCTTAAAAAAAAGGCGCAACGGCCTCCGTTCGCCCCAGTCCTCCCTCCCCACCACAATGTCTCTCTCTCTACAACCACATCAATGCTATTTTCTCTCTGTAAAAAGGTAACGCAAAATCGTTGCTGTCTCTTCTGAAATATAGGACTTCTAAGGCTCCATACTCTCTTTCTGTGGCCCATGAAATTGACCAAGCGCCCGTGAACCTTCATCGCATTTGTATCTGATTTGGCCCCTTTTCTGTGTTCATTGATTTGGGGCTGTTTTCACGGGTAATCCCTTGATTGCTGGGGAAATTTGTGATTTGGGTTTTAGGGTTTAGGGTTTTGGGGTTTGTCCATTTTTTATTCCTTGACAAGGAGATTATTGGGGTTTGCCCCTTTTTCGGGGTTTTTCTTTGGGATAGTTATTTGCCAGTTTGTTCTATTAAGGGATTTCTATGACAGGGGTCTTGGACTTTGGGGTTTGATTTCTTAGGTTTTGATATCCAATCCTCCATTGAGGAGATGGATGAGGTAATGTCTGGTTTTGTTTATTCTAGGCTACCGAATGAGGGGGAGATTGCGGTTTAGGGTTTATCAAATTTTTTAGTTTCCCTATTGAATATTTATGGTAATGGATGGATTGCATGCAAACGCAAATGCTCCGCCGCCTTTTCTTAGCAAGACATACGATATGGTGGATGACCCTGCAACTGATTCAATCGTTTCGTGGAGCCCTGGCAATAACAGTTTCATTGTTTGGAACCCTCCTGAGTTTGCAAGGGACTTGCTGCCCAAATACTTCAAGCACAACAACTTCTCGAGCTTTGTGCGCCAGCTGAACACATATGTGAGTGCTCTTTTATCTTATGATTTTGATGGTCTCATTGTTGTGGTGGAGCTATATATTGATCAATGTGATGGTTTATAGCATTTCATTGTTGATAGTGGTTGATTGGTTTATTCCCGATAATGGACACATTTTCCATCTCCCTCCTATGATTAACCATTTGGGTTTCACTGAAGTAATGGGAAAGTTTAGAGCACATTGTTATTGAGATGGCAATTAGTGATACAAAATAAAATACTAAGAGCAGGTTTAATCTTTAAGTGAAAGGCTTCCTAAAACTCACTCACTTTGGCTATATGACCGGCTTTACTGTAATTAACTTTCTTAGCTTTTTAGTGCAATGGAAATGGTTAGTGGTCTTTTTCATTAGTTCGTGGCTTCTAATTGTGGAACTTATAATATGTTTAACATGTTTTTGGAGGAGGGTAGACTAGGTGTCTATTTTGTGCCAGCCTTTCTTTTTTATTTTCTTTTTGGTTGTTTATTAAATATTAAATTTAATTGATCAGTAGTGAATTGAGCTAAGCTTGTTGGAGGGCATTCATGACAAGGATTTGAGCTCCCATGTTTGATTGCCCTGGTTAGATTCAAGATGGTGGCCATATAGTTTGCATTTTCAAGGGAGCACTCCCATACCGATGATGATGCAGAGGATGCAAAGTATTAGCAAAGGGCGCCGAATGGAATATTCCAATATTTCAAGACTGAGAAACTTATAGAGGAAAAAGGCTTATATGTACTTGGTGTGGTCTAAGACATCAAATAATCCTCAAGACATACTATAAGAAGGGGCTGATTGAGACGTGAGAATGGTTTCAAATTGATCGTGCGAGAAACCCATTAGTGACCAAGTGGTCAAGGTGTAAATTGATGCTGAGAGAAACCTAAAGGGGAGAAAGACAATAGTTGCATTATTTTTTAATTTTAAATGTACATGAATTTTGAGTTTCAGTCAATTTAGCCCAAAACGTGACCGAGTCTTTCACTGACTTATGCTAGGTAATAATCCCTCCAAAAAAACAAAAAAAGAAAAACTTGTGCTAGTTGATATAGGAATTCAGGAGCATAATTTCTGACTTTGTTTTTCAAGTCCCAGGCCAAATGGAATTGGTCTGTAGTCCACCTTGCTTACTATGGTTCTATATGTCATGTGGATGGGGTTCTGTTTTGGCTTTGTTTTTCCTCTTGAGCAGACATGGATCCCGTTTGCTAGATTAAAATAGTGACCATCTTATTCCCACCCTCCATTCGTTGAGTCATAGTTTTTGAGGAAATACATTAAGTCTTCTTGTGCTTGCGGATCTATACTTTCTTTCATTGGCCTTACAATGGGGTTCCTTATTCTCATCCATCATGTTAAGAGCAGATGAGTATGAGCTCCTGCGACACATGAACAAGGGCTTCTTGTAGTGGTTTGGTCATCCTCAGAAGACTAACATCACAATGGGTGCATACTATGTTAACCGATGTTTAAAAAGTCAATAGGCAATCAAGCTGAGATATGTATAGTTTAATGGTACATTATCTTGGATTTCTATACTGCAGTATGTCAAGGTATGATTATTCCAAGAAGAGATATACAAAAATTAGTCATATCAACATAATGTTAATACATGAGCTTAGAGATGGAAAAGTTTGGAATCTGCAAGTAACATTTTTGTTATTCTTGGTATTTTGAGTGTCCAGTCATCTGTTTTTCACAAATTAAATAAACAAAATTGCCTGACAGGTTTATTTGTCATGATAGCAAGCTAGGGATCCTTGGAGGGTTCTTGTCCACAAGACTTAATGCACATTAGCTTGAAGATCTGCCTTGCTACAAGAGGGAGTGACTGCTGTTAACTCTCCTTTGTCTGTATATTGCCTTTGCGGTAGCGTTTGTTTGTGGTTTATGGTTATCTATAGGGTTCACATTAGCTACAGCTGCTACACCTTGATCCAAGTGGGGACACGTACTTTGTTATGCAACTACAGTTCTGTCCAGTGTTACAAGGGTATCCAATATTTGGGTTGGTGTCGTGTTTTGACATGATTTGGCACTTGGACTTGTGCTGCCCATACGTGTTGGCAGCCAGTAAGCTCCTACACGGCATGTATATGTGCTTGTCAGAAATGTTTCCTTGTGATACACCTAATGTCCTATGTGCTTTGATGTAGCAAAAAAGCGATTTCAATGATAGGATTTGAACCCTCACCTGTTGGCAAGTGAACATGAACTCTAACCACTTTGTATGCATGTGTACAAGTTCGGAAAAATATGGTATTTAGTCCAAATGTGTATAAGTATGAAAAATCCAAAAATAGAAAGTATGAATTGAATCTCTAATTTAAAATTTTCTTATAGATTCTAATATTTGTTATTTTCAAAATTTTCTATAATTCATTATTTATAATTTTTTAATGGATGCAGTGTGCTCCCATGGGAGCAGATTTGCACATTCTCCCATAGGTAAAACACCAACCCAGGAAGATTTTTTTCGCACCCCTTATAAAATCTTGCATACCACCTTCGATTGAGTTGATTATGAGGGGGTAATAAATAATAATAATAAAAAAGAACCCTAAGTAGGTTTTGCATGTGGGAACAAGTGCACTATCTGCTCCTGTAGGAGCATTTAATCTTTTGCATTTTGCAATTTTACACACACACACACGTAGAGTTTCAGTTCATATTTACTTTTTGGCTGATGCCCTTACCTTGATACTTACTAGGACACTAATACACATGTCAGCATCCATGTAACACTGGTTGTGTCCATATACTTGTGTCACTAGCTTTATCTATGACAGACGTTCTCTATCTAGATATTTGCACTATCTTGTTTGACACTTCTCTGATTACTTGGCCGAGTCAAATGCAATGGTTTACAACTCGGGCGACCTGACTTAGACTCGCCCGAGTAACTCAGGCTCAACAGGTTGCCTTGCCTGACATCCCCTCCAAACTCAGTGGCGCAAAATTAAAACAAAATTTTGTATTAATCTGATTATAGTTAATTTATATGGTTTACTTTATACTAGGTTTTTATATTTTTAAAGATTTTTTTTCTTTATATTTTCCTTTTTTTTAAGAAAATGAATGTTAAAACATTTTCTTTTTAATTTTTTGTTACATTTTGCTCATCTTTTATGTACGTCTTCTATTTTTTAACTTTCTGTTTTTTCATGGTTTTAACAGATTTTTAAGGAATTTCTTTATTTTTTATCTCTTTTTTTTTTTTGTCATTTTCAAGCTCTCATTGACCTTGTTATGAAACATCTTTTTATGACCACCATACAGGTCGACATTCAAGTCTTAGCTGGCTAAATTACTTTGTTGGCATATTCTTTTCCCATCAGCGTAGGTTTGTGTGCATGTGTGTGTGTTTTTTTTTTGTGGGGGTGGGGGGGTGTGTGTTCAATGTAGGGCATTTGGGAATTATTCTACATATATCATGGAGAGTGGTTCATATTTTCTTCTTCCCCGCCCCCTCCACTCTCTCTCTCTCTCTCTCTCTCTCTCTCTGTATGTATCTGTTTTGTTTTTTCGGTTGGTTTTGAGGGCAGAGTGGTAGTTCAACAGCAGGACTCAAACTTTGGATGTGGTTGAAGGGCAGACCAGTCTGGTATGTACTTTTTGGGAGAAACCTCAAGGGTCGAATGCTTGACAACCAGCGGTGTCTAGCACTAGGCTAAAGCCTTGGGGACATCAGTTGTTTCTTTTATATTATTGAATGCGTTATACTGATACCCAAGGGATACTTTATGTCCTACCATTGCGATATATACTGATTATCACATCACAAGTCCATTCAACAATTTGTATCATTCTTCTTAAACTTCCTTGGGTACCCCAAAGGATACCTATGCCAGGTAAATTCTTCTCCGCCTTACCTTCAATATGCAAGTAACAAATTGTTGAGCATGCTTCCTGTTGGAAAGTGCATAATATGTGTTCTAAAAACTGGTGAGCTGGTTTGGAACTGCCTGAGGTAGCTCTGAACCGGTGGGTGATCAGGCTAGGTCGAAGACCACATGGTTTTTCCCTGTTTTGATAATTTTTTTTCATAATGTTTCAATATAGAAAGGCCCCTGGACAACTGGCGAGCGGGTTTGGAACTGGTGGGTGATTGGTTCGATCCACCGATTCAGTTTTTAAAACACTGGTGCATATTAATTGAACCCGTTGATACTATGCATTTTCCTATATGTGTTCCTTGTTTCATGTCATTTGCCTGCCTTCTGCACCATCCGTATGATTAGAAACTCTTTTTTTTCCCTTTTTTTCTTTATGGCTTGGTTAAGAAAAAACTGTTTACTCAAGTAAGCACTTTTTAAAAAAATAAATAAAGAAAGACCTGTTTACTGAAGTCAGCTGTAAATCTTTTATATTTTTTAATGGAAAAGTGTTGTATGTGTCGGGGGACGCATTTTTACATTTGTATCCCCTGAGGCATAATACATCCATCTTAAAAATGGATGCGTATGTGTAGTCCCTCTGAAAAAAGTTAAAACCAATGGTCTACATATAGTTTCTTCATGAAATTATCATTTTTTATTTTTAAAATTGACTTATTTTAGCATATTCTTGATCTCCATATTAGAGATTATATATTCCATAAAATTTAAGTCCTAAATCCATCTTAAAAATGGATTTTTAAGAAGGGACTGATTTCTACATATAAGTCCAAGGACTCGTAGAGACCTTGTCCTTTTTAATAAATATAGCCAATTTCATTTGGTTTTTTCTTTTTGTGTGGTTTAATAAATATAGTCAATTTCAATGATTAGTCTGAGGCTGGGTCGGAGGGAGGGTGCAGTGTTTCTTCAAATTTTTGGAGTTTAGACATTTCAAGTTCCTTCACTATCCTTTATAGAATCACTTTACCTTCAAGGCCTTATATGTGATCCTCATCTTCCACTTTTCAATAAGCCAAAGGTTGCCACCTTACTGTATTTTCTTTTCCCATTGCACCGCAGAGGAAATTCTGTAGGATCATTCTAGCTTGTTGCCACCGTTTGTAAACTGTATTATCTTTTCCCATTGCACTGCAGAGGAAATTCTTTAGGATCATTCTACTGCCAGCAGCTTGAAGATTAATTGACCAGTGTCTATTAGACAAGCAGGGCATTATAAATGTTCAGTTACCTGGCTAAGTAAAAATTTTCCTTTTTAACTAGTTTGCTTCATTTCTATATCTTGGTTGATGGATCGTGCAGAGATTCGTCCTACAATAGTGGCAATTCAAAATATGACAAAACAAGACATTTGATTCACATCCTATAATGCCAACTTGCTCCATCACTGCCCTATCAATGTATAATAGAAAGAAAATGCTAATCTATCTTGTTTCAACATTTACACCATTAGATTTAGATTTTCTAAATTCTCGTTCTGCCTGAAAGATTTTTTTCTGGTTCTGTCTTACTGAAGAGGCCATTTAAATCTTGAAATCTCTTACATGCAAAGCTGTGACGACAAACAATATACTAGGTTTCTGGATTTCATTTTAAAGTTATTTCTGTTCGTTTTTTTTTTGGTACTTTAATGAATATTTTTGGTTTCCTTTGATCCTCATATTTTCTGGGATATGGGTTGGTTGAGTGTCTCGTTTGATGTTTCCTACATTCAGTTTTAGAAAGAAATTTAAATCTTGAAATGTTTGATTTATTGAATGTTTCCTTATGGTTTCATTTGTGTTTATTGCTACCTGAGAAGAAATCATTAGCTTGCTTTCTTACTTCTAATTTTATTTCCAAAACTCCAAAAAAAAATATTTCCAATAAGCGGGATGCAGGTTGCCTTGTGGAGATATGGAGCATGGGCATTGATCTTTGTTCCTAATTTAGGTTTCTCTGCTATCTTATGCTTTTGATGTAGTTTCCACTCTTTCTGTTTCGATTTGTTTACTTTCTCGTTGCACAAATAGTTGTACCCCTACTTGCCACAGGGTATAACACTGCCTGATGTTGTCTATTTCATAATGTCAATTTTAGTCATACTGTTTTCCCTTTTACATTTCAATGGTCTGTGATCAATTATTTTCTTGTTTACTCAAAAAAAAAAAAATTTTTTTTTTTGCTTGTTTATCCTTTTAATTCTTGTGTTTCATTAAGTAGGGTTTTAGGAAAGTGGATCCAGATCGATGGGAATTTGCAAATGAGGGGTTTTTGAGAGGTCAAAGACATCTGCTCAAGAACATCTATCGGCGGAAACCTAGTCATAGTCATACCCAGCCTCAGCAGTCTCAAGGACAAAGTGCATCTGTCAATGCATGTGTCGAAGTTGGGAAGTTTGGCATTGAAGAGGAAATTGAGAGGCTTAAAAGGGACAAAAATGTTTTAATGCAGGAACTGGTGAGACTTAGGCAACAGCAACAGAGCACTGATCACCAGCTCCAGACCATGAGTCAGCGACTTCAAGGAATGGAGCAAAGGCAGCAACAAATGATGTCATTCCTGGCCAAGGCCATGCAAAGCCCAGGGTTCTTAGCACAGTTGATGCAACAGAATGAGAACAATAGGCGCATAGCTGGAAACAAGAAACGTAGACTCCCCAAACAAGAAGAAAACACGGAAGTTGAGGGGCCGAGTCTAGAGGGACAAATAGTTAAGTACCAACCTCTTATAAATGAGGCTGCAAAGGCCTTGATCATGCAAATATTTAACGTGGACCAGACCCCTAAAAGGGAACCCAATCCCAAGAACTCTGATAATCTCTTCACGGATGCTGTTCGGGCCACATCTGATGCATTGGATAGTGGTAGCTCATCAAATCGAACATCGAGTGTTACACTTACAGAGATGCAACCAAGTTCAGCTCCTTCTTATACAACTAATTCCTCAAGCTTTGCAGGTCTTTGCCCTTCTGCTGCAACATCTGAACTACAGACATCGTCTTCAATGTCTGATATGGTTACAATGCCTCAGCTACCTGATATGGATGTGCTCTCTACCTTGACTGATTCAGTGACCCCATGTGAGAGTGGTTTGGCTCTTCCTGAGTTCTCCCATGTTCAAGGGTTAGTGCCTGAAAGCAATTCTATGGCCCTTCCCAGTGGAACCTATGTTGTGCCTGGGACAGGGGGAGAGTTTATTGAACCTATGTCGGTTGCAATGGATACGACAAATCCCTTAGATTCGGAGAAGTTCTCTTCAGAGAATGATACCGATAGTTTGTTTGATGGGCTCCCCTTTTTGCCTGGGGAAAATGATGATTGGGAAAAGTTTCTCTCAGCAAGTCCTTTATCAGGGGTCTCAGGTGATAATGAGGAGGTTGAGTCGAGCACCTTGGAAGGTGTCACCAAGGGAAACGACATCAAACCAAAAGACCCAAGTAATGAATGGAACAAGGCCCAACGTATGGACCACCTCACAGAGCAGATGGGACTTCTCACATCAGACGCAAATAGGTAACATTTAATAATGTAATCAAGTTTCTTTTTGGTTTGCAAAGGTGAGAAGAAAGCTTTTGGTGTAGTTATCGCCACAAAAACATTATCCGCAAGTTGGAGTCACCATCAGACTATTTTCCTCACCTATTGGCTTCTTACTTGGCCCTGTTTTTGTTGGCTTAGCTGCTGTTTCAGTTAAAGAGTCGATCAAAGAAGGGCAAACAGCTTTTTGGAAGGATATGCTGCAAATATTGGTGGATGTTTTGGTTGGTTTAGCAACTACTTTTAGCTTTTCAAGACCAAAGTATGTGGAAGCAGGAAAAGAAAAATCACTGTATTTTGTCCATTACCTGAAAGAGTTTCAGAATTTGTTAACGATTCCAAACTTCGTCTCCCCTGAAATGTATAATCAGGTTTAAACTTAGCTATCCTGGTAAAAGGGCACTGATTCCTTCATCTGGTTAGAGTATCAACAAATGACTTACAATTGTTTTAATTTTTTGAGAAAAAAGGGTAATGGGACTGGAGGGTGGGATGTAACTTTGAGGCTCCTGCCCCCCTAACCACCCGGAACCCAACCCCATTCTACAGAGATGACTTAAATTAATTGTACTAAATTTCTCTTTTAGTTGTGATGAGCTCCATGGTTGGCTGAGAACAATGGTCCTCTCTTAAGGGTTTTTACCTTTCCATTCTCAGCAATGGTGAGAAGTACACTGCACAGAACCAATTAGTTTAGAGAGGTAATTCTGCAAAATAATAACAAGATGATTAATTTGTTCTTGTGTTGGAAGGAGCTATGCAATTATACTCGAAATCTCACATATGTTTGTTGATATTGCGCAAGGATTATTAGGCGCTAAGCATCTTTAGTTGAACTTACGAGTTTCTCATCCAATGCAATGAATACCAAATGCATTATAGTAAGTTGCTATTATTATCATGTATGAAAGAAATTTCCCTTTTCAAATAATTAAATTATCGGTGCTCCTTTTGTTGTTGCCTGTTAGCTCCTTTTGTTGTTGCCTGTTAGCTGAAGAAAACTGCTGCCTGTTTGTCGGAGTCGCTTCGGAGTCTTTTTTGGTTTGGTGAGAAAAAGGAAGCAATTCGATGCTTCGGCTGATTCGGGAGAAGATTTCGGATTTGTTTTTTAATTTAGTATAAATAAATTAAATATTTATATTTAAAATCTATATAAATAATGAAACAATGAAAAAATTAAAAAATACATATATATATTTGACCGAAGCAAACTTGAAGCGGTCCGAATTTGCCCGAAGCAGTTCGAAGCGGTCCGAATCTTATCGAAGCGACAATACTATGCTTCACTTCTCTTTGGTGTATGCCTAAAATCCGAAGGATTCGGCCTCGTCGGTCGAAGTGAAGCGAATTTGATAATATTGATCTGAATAGTAATTTGGATCGGATTTAGGTATAGGTGGATCCTATCTGGATCTGACCCGGTTTTTTAAAATATTGTATACTATTATATATATATATATATATATATTAACTTTATAATATACAAAATTCAAAATTGGAACTGATTTGGATTTGAATAGGATCTGGGTGGATCCGGACCTGATCCGAAAATTTCTCACCCTGTATAATTCAATACTTGAAGGTCATCCAGTGATATGACACAAGATCATCTGGAACTCTTATCTCTGAGAAGAAAATTACTACAAAGATCCAATTCTGATCCTAAAGGCTGTTTTTATTTTCTTGTTTTGTTCGTATTGACTCTAATTTGTAAGTTATCTCCTGTATCTCTTATACTGCTGTCCATTTGCTTTTAATCCAACACAAATGGGTATCTGGACATGCAAGTCCGACTTTTTGAATAGGTTGCATGATTCTTAATTGAATATTCAAACTTTGCATATATTCTGCACCAGAGGCTTCAATGAGGTGCCCAGCATTGGCACGGTACATTTTTCTAGTAACATGCTCACGGTTCAGAAGCCAAATTTGTCGGTATATCCTTCGATTGATGATTTGATTTTCTTTCTTCTGCCATCTGAGTTGATTTAGGTGCAAGTTATCATAGGACAATAATCTTTGCTGACTTAAACTTCATTATTGAGTTAGACGGTTATATGGCAAGGGCTTGATTTACCTTGCTAATGGATCCTTTCCATTGTTTCCTCCATTCTCAATTTCTTGACGAATTCATCTCTCGTCAGCCTTTTCATGAAAGCAAAATGATGATTAATGTTTTGTTAGATAATGCAACAATGCATAGTGGCCTTTCTCCCATGTTGATCGTCCATGTGTGCTCACACACATGTGCATGCACTCTTGCACTTGTATCCACTTCATTTACATGTTTTTAGCTAGTGAAATGACTTTCTGGGAACATGCACACATGCATGTGTTCATGGTGTTCATGCACTCACATCCACTTCATTTTCAAGTTTATAGCCATCAGGCTTATATTCTGGGGACTTTCATGGTTCATTTGATCCAACGCACTTTCCCACTTCCATTTTAAGGCCTAAATGTGATTTTTGACCTAGTCTTGTAATTGTGAAGCTGTGCTCTCCCCAACTGTCTATTTATTGTGACTTGATATTACACTCTGTTGGGCCTTGATTTGTGTTGAGACTCAAAAGATGCAATATAATCAATATTTTAGAGTTCATGCTGGTACCATCTCTCATTTGGGTCCTTCGGTGGCTCTATGGCTAGAGATTATCTACCTGGGTCACCCTTCAGTGTTGTGGGCTTTGCTGCATTCATGCATCTATGACAACATGTAAGATGGGGATTTCGATGGTTACTGGTGCACCTTGGTCAGGGAGATTCTACATTTGTTCGGCAAATTCTGTCAGCTGGGACTGAACCTGGGGCTGCAAGGTGAAATATGAAAATTTCACTTTAGGGAAGAGAATTTATTGGTGAATTGGTCATCTTGTTAGATGATTCTTTGGACTATGCTCTTGTTCTATGATTGTTTTGATCTTGGGTGCTGTATTTTTTGTCGTACAGAAATATTATGATTTTGGACTATCTTGAAATTTGTCATTGAATTGTTTTCTCCGGGCAAGTTGTCCTTTGATTGTTAGATGATTCAAATTACTCATTTCTTAGAATTTTATCACTGAACTTGTAAATGCTACTTACCTTATAAGTGTTACAAGTTTAGTCTCTTTCCGAGAAAACAATGCAGACATGACTCAAGTGGAGAAAGTGATTGGACAATATACCAGACTGATGTCAAATCCTCGTGTAGTTTGAAATATGGAATATTGCAACTTGTGCCATAATTAATAGAAAGTTTAACTTTGCTACAAATCATCACACGATTCTGTTCCATCGTTCTGCTCTATCAATGGTCAAATGAGTATGTTAAATAAAGGATGGTGACTGACTATAATGGTAGGAAGGCACAGAATTCTACATAACTTTTTGATTGGACGTGGACCCCTTTACTTGCTACTCATATTGGCATAATATCTTCTTTCCAATAGCAGCCACAAATAATCAAATGGGAAATGAAGAATGCCTTCTTCCAGGAAACAACTTGGAGGAAACATATGATAATTAGAGGTGCAATTAAAGTTACAATAGATGGTTTTCGTTAAAGAAATCATCTTGATTGTTACTTTGTTATTAATTAGTAATACTCGAGGCTCTGGTAATCTTTTTGACATAGTCATCTTCCATTTCTTGCACCACAATCTAGTCCACTGGTATGAAGTTCTTGGTCTCAATCTTGACTGTTTGCATGGTCATTGATGGAAGAGAAACAAGTTTGTCTGATAAAGACAAGTTACTCTGCATGTTATATATATGTACTGCAGGGGAAATAAGATTTTGTCTGCGTTTTGGAGATCAAAAGTATTCAATGGCTTCTCAAGATTGGGTTGAGAACTGATTGAATGCTTTTTCCTTTTCATTTTTCTTTCTATAGTTAAACTAATTGATTGAATTTGCCTTCCAGAAGTATTGCCTGACTGAGGTAGTACTGCGACAGCAATTTAGAACATTGGAAGTAGAGACGGTTGGCATCTCCCCTGATAGGGACAGGAACGGCCTTCGGGCTTTCTTGTTACCGAATACACGCGGTTAAGGCTACCCACTTCTTTGAGGTGGATCTGACCCAATTTTGCACTGAAATACCCAAAAATTTAGAACAAAATGATGGTTTATATAAAAATCAAAACAAGAGAAAATCAAAGCTTTTTCTTAACTATTTGAAGTTGGCTAAAACAAGAGAACTTTATCTTATCGAGAAGAGGTAAAATTTACACAATTTAAAATAATTCCTCACATTTCTAATGGAAATTAGTTGGGCCTTTGAAAATGAGACCAGATGGGTTCTTGGAATTTTTAGGGACATCCATGGAGTGCTTGCCTTATCGTTCTTATGTATTGAGGTTTTGCTATATGCCTTGGGTGTGATCTCATCCTATTCATGCTTCTGAAAATTGGATTGGTGCCATGAATCATCGGGGCACCAATTGCCAATTCACTGATCGGGTTTGGTGATAGGGGATATGTGTACGGACACAACTCAAAGGAAAGTAGGAAAAAAAATAAAAACTGGTGCTTCGGGCAGTTCTAAGCTTCCAGCTGGCTCCATAAAACCGGACCACCCTGTCCCTCTGGCTCCGGATTGAAGCAGGTGACTTTGGTTCTTCCAACCATCAAAATATCAAGTTTTGGTAGTTTCCGATTAAATGGTAGGAGTTTGTTTCTTGCAACCATCAAAATATCAAGTTTTAGTAACCTTGGTAGTTTCCAATTAAATGGTAGGAGTCAAGGTGCTCAAATCTGGAGGCTTAGCAGGCTCGACGACACTGATCTGCCGAGGAAACTGCCTTTAATTTGCTCGTTAACATTCCCAAAGAAAGAAAAAAGAAAAAAACGCCTCTAACTTGGTGTTGAACTCTCTCTTTTGTTCTGTGTAAACATTGGTTTCACAGAGAGAGAGAGATAGGGGGCTGATGCTTCAATGTAACATAACTCCATAATAAATTATTTGAGACATGGATTTTGGATCCAAAACTTATAGGTCTAATCATAACTGGCATCACAATTACGAATTTGAAGAAAAAAAAATGAAGGTCGAGCTTTATAAAGGGAGATTGTATATTATTGGAACAGAAAATATCAGTTTCTTTGTATTTGGGGATGAAGTTCGAGATTAGAAAAATGTTGTACTATTTTCGGAAGTTCATTTCAATTCTATAAAAACATTAGACAATTTTTGGAGCTTCAAATTCATAGATATAAGGCTCACAGTGATTTGGGACGTATTTATTAGTATTAAAACCATTGAAAACCACTGTTAACATTATATATATATATATATATATATATATATATATATATATAATAACTATAGACTACAGTAGTAGTGTGTGTAGTTACGTA